TTTTGTTTTCCTCACATGTAGCAGCCACAGAGCTCCACTGCTTGGATTCTTCTTCAAGAAAAATACTCGCCTAAGAGTACCGTTTGCTGACACCTTTCAGCTCAAGTATCTTTAGGATTAATTTTAGGATTCAAGCCAAGGTCCTACTCTTTCCAGGCACATCCAAGCCAATGACTGAGCATGGTAAGTTGCATCAAAGCCTGGCCGTGTATATGCAACATGGGACTCTCTTTCAAGAGAGATCTCTGTTACAGGGACCTCCATGGGTTTGGCTAAGATGCTGTCAAATCTGCACTGTCTTCTGCCTCCTTTCCTCTTAACTTTTGCACGGGTAAAAGATCCGCATCACAGTGTGATGATGGGCTTTCCTCATCCTGATTCATGCTAGTTATGGACTGAATGTTTGTGTCTCTCTCCAGATTTGTACACTAAAGTGTAATCTCCTTGGGCATGGTATTTGCACATGGGGGCTCTGCGAGGTAATTAGATCGTAAGGGTGAAGCCCTGATAAATTGTATTAGTGTTCCCATAAAAAGAAGCCAGTTAGCTCACTCTTCTGAAGAGGATTCAAGAGGCCATCTGAAAGCCAGAAGAGGGCCCTCCTGGGGAGTTGAGAACACTGGGACCCTGATCTCAGACTTCCAGCCTCCAGGAGTGTGAGAAGTCGGTTTCTGTTTCTTCTAAGCCACCCAGTTTATGGCATTTTGCCAGAGCATCCCGAACTAAGAGAATGCTTCCTTCATTTTTCATAATCAATATTCCTCCAGAAGCCACTTGTTCCCCTAACTTTGTCTCAGTGTCCATTTCCCAGTGAACAAAACTGATACACATATCTGCTCACCAGAAAGTGGACAGGCTTTCAATTTGCCTATGAAATAAAAAGTCCAAATGCTCAATGGCCTTTGTATATTTTTCCTGTATTTTTCTAATACAATTTTTAAAAGTGTTCTTAATGTTTCTGCATAGCACTTATACCCTCCTGCACACACACACACACACACACACACACACACACACACACACACACACAAACAATTCTCACTTTTTTTGTATAGAGAAGTCCTTACATAGAGTCCAATTTAGATTCTATGGGAATAATTAACACTCCTTTCATTTGAACACACTCAAGTGAAATTATTCAGGCATTTACACAAAAATGTTTACATTTCACTCAGGCATATTTGTGTTTCTACTCAAGAACTTAGGCTGACTCTTTATTGATCACTGAATTTAGCCTCTTTCCTTCTTCACTGTGTCCGCTTTAGTTAAAAATCTCAACTTCACTCAACGAGTATTTATTAAGTAACTACTATGTATATTCTTCAAGTACCATTTCTCTCCATTACATTTTCCATAATAGTACCAGAATAAGCTTTCTAAAATATAAAACAGGTAGATTTGTGTATGTCAGATTGGAAAAGATAAAGCTAAAAGGGATGCATGTTGAGATAGACACTCATAAGCTGAGTAAAAATGTAAATATTCAATGTTGTTGACTAGATGTAATTAAGCAAATGGCAATATATGTCAATAAGACTTAAAGTGTCCAAATCCTCTGACTTAGTAGGGGGCTTTAATTATCTGTATCACATGGTAATTTATTCTTTAGTTATAAATTATTCAAATAGCATCACTATGCTTCCTTGTATTTATGCTGGGGGAAAAAAAAATCTACCTTCCAGAATGCATTGTGAGATATTTGCAGGCTGACATTAGCTTTGTGAATTTTTCTCCTTATATTTAATTCAGGGCCTAGCACATAGTGCAGCTGAATGGACATTTGCAGGTTTCACATCTATATTACATTAGGAATGTTGAACAAAAGACCCAAATGAGCACAGTCAAGGAGCAAAGCAGAAAACAGCTCAACTCCATTTAAGCAGTCAACACATTCCGTTTTACAGAAGTCCCTGTACCATGATTGCTGACACTAAAAAGTGAAGTACAAAGATATCTGGCAGTGGTTTTAAAATAAAAGACCTGGGTGTGAGTCTTAATTCTGCCTCAGCCCTGGCACTGATTTTGGCCAAGTAATAGGACGTGTCCAGACTCTTTGACCCTAAAACTCAGAGCTGGCCACCTTCCTTGATGCTTTCCCAGGGTTATCAGGGAGCCCAAATGAGATAAAGTTTGGAAGAAACTTTCTTCTTTGCTGAGGAAGAATATTTAATTATGCCCCAAATGAACGTGTTTTAGAAGAGTTATATTTCCTGTTTCTAAGTCTAAGTTTATTTTTAAGTCATGACCTATGTATGAGTAAATGTGCTTTTTATCACTTTTAAATGCACGAGGATTTTACTCTTTGAATAAAAAAAAACAGCCTTTAAATTTTCAATTTAATTAGTAATTGACTTACTAGTAACACATGAAAATTTATCTCAGTAATGCTGAAAACTCATGGATCAGATAAATTATATCATATGTGTATGTAGTCATATATTGAATTTTTCCATTTGGCAATTTGCAGACAAAACTACCTGATACATCAGAAAAATACACTCAAAGAATATAGTTATTCCTAATAAAACTGTTACCAAAAAATCCCACAGGATTATAAGAGTCTGAAACAATGGCTTTATTCTCTTAGCATATTGTTAAAATTAAACAATGAAAAGGCATATCTTCATTTACAAAAACTATTATTTTATGAAGTTATTTTCCCAATCAGTAAAAAAAAAATTGTTTCTTTTTAAAAATGAAACATTTTCTTAATGGTTTCTAAAATCTATACCACCAGACTCAGGATATTGGCTAGGTTTAATATTAGTAATAATAATAATATCTTCATGAAGAACTCTAATGAGTAGATATCAGTGTCCTGTTTTACAAATGAGGCATTTAATAGCCAATGTAATACAAATACTAATACCAATAATGGATGGATACCCACTGAATGATTTCCATGTCATGCTCTGTACAGCTGATATTTATTGTTTCACCTGATCCTCATCACCACACTATGAGGTAGGTTCCATATCCACTTTATAGAAATGAAAGTTGAATCTTTGACTTATAAATATTACTTGCCAAGCCTCACAGAGCCAATTAGTAGTTGTAGTTATTCTTAAAGTTAGTATTTAAGTCTGCCTGATGTGTAAGCACATGTTTCCCCCAGGATGAAAAATGGTGCCAGGCCATCTGTTAAATAGGTGATATCCTACAAAGGGTTTGCAATTTGTTTTAATCAAAGTCAAAATGATTGTTGGGCTTGCCATGTACTTCACATGCACAGGAATAACACATTAAACTATTATTGATACAGGCAGTAAAGTACTTAACCATAACATTTTGTAATCCAAATCCCAAGAAAAGTGTTTCCCTGGAGCAATAACATGGTAAATAGAATTCAAAATTTAGGACACCAACCTGTTTCAGGCTCAATGGAAAAATAAGGCTGCCCTTCCAAGATACTATAAACCAGCTTTGCACTGTTTCCATAAACTGGATCATCAGCATCAGTAGCTGTTATATTAGTGACAGACGTACCTAAAAAAAAGAGGGAGAGAAAGAAAGAAGGATAATAATTAACACATTATTCTTTGCCAAGAGCTAAATTTTGCAAAGCGTATCATACAGAAATCCATGTGTGGGAATAAGGAAGAAAAGCAATCTCTTTAAAAATATGGAGACACACTACTTTGTCTTAACTTCAAAAATACCCAAATCTTTTAAAAGAAAGAGTACTGCTAGGTTGGAATACTATATAAAGATAGCCCTTTTAAAATCTATATTACTTAAGACTCCTTTATAGTTTTCATTTTAAAGATACCTATCTGATCCATGTGAGCTTGGAGAAAATGAAAAGGAGATACCAAATAAATATAAAACAAGGCTAATAATATGATATAATATGTAGCATTTAAATTTTGCAAAAGCACAACTGAATGTATTTGGGAAAAAAATGGCTGCTGAGAAAAGCTGTGCAGAAATATCAAAGGAACATTATATCCATTTTATCTAACCTTCAGAATATAAAATTGGACTGCAACTACCAATTAATCAGCATGTTTAGGTAATTGGACCTAATTACCAATATAATACAAACCTTTTCTCTTAAAGATTGTGTCTATTTTGTATTCACTCATTCATTTAGTAACTGAACATGTCCAGCTTGCCTAATATGAGGATGCATACTTAGAGGAAATCTGTACTCAAGAAGCTCATAGTTTGGTGGTAGGAAATAAAAGAGGGGACGCATATATATATAGACACACATATATACAGAAATTCAGCTGGATGTAATAACACCAAGTTTGGATTCTTCATTTAGTCCACCGAGAGGGTGGTCAGAGACAGTTATCTGAGTGACATTGCATTTGAGATAAATTATTAAAGACAGAGATTAACCAGGAGAAAGGGCAAGGAAGGAATTCTAAGCAATAAGTCAAGCATAAATAAAGGCAAAGTAGTTCTGAGAGAAAATTCTCGGAACTGGTGAAACTGAGGAGAATTTGGAGAAATTCAGTGTGGTGTTAAGTATGATCTCTGAGGGCAGAGTCAATGCCTTCCTCATCCAGGAGCCATCAGACATATAACAATTATCGAACATACAACTTGCTAATTGAATGAATGGCCCAATGACTATATTAGCTGATGATTTAATGAAGAATGAAACATCACAGTTGAATCTCCTAGAAAGTAGATGCTGAGATAGAGATTTCTTGCAGTCTTTGGGGGAGTGTTCTTCAATCACTCCCTGTGGGGAAGTGAGAAGGGCAATACTGGAGTACTTGGGCTGGGATCACAACAAAGGTCTCAGCTGACTCCACTGGAAGCTCCAGAGCTGGGACGTCACCAAGGAAAGGGGACCAGGCTATTAGACTCCAGCACTGACCCGTTATGGGCTGTGGGAACCCCTCTAATAATAGAACATTGGCCTTGAGCCAGGTAGCCGTGCCAGCTGCGTGATCATCAGCCCTGAGCTGCTAGTAATCAACACTCCCAGCAACATAGGGGAAGAGTGTTTTAAACCTGAAGGGCATGGGTATGGGGGTGGGAGATATGAAAAGCCCACCTCCATGGTTACTGAAATAGGATAGAGCTTTTCCAAGATCTTGCCAATCAAAACCCTTTGGACATGTTTGAAATTACGGTCACTGTACAGGAAAATGTAACACTAGTGTTTGTAGAGTGGTTGATAGTCCTGTAAAATTGGAATTTTTACCCAGAATGATGATTCAAAGTTTCTACAAATTCTAGTTCGAAAGAAAAATAAAAAAAAATACACTGAATGTCAGTTGTATAATACATTCCACCAGACTCTGGGAACAATATCAAAAAAAAAAAGAAATTAAGACTCACATTCACAAGTAGTTCATCAACTAGCTGGTGAAAATGAGCATGTGAAAGTACAATATTTGTAGTTATTTAAATGTTGTGTGGGCTGGAGAAGAATGGGAGGAAAAAACCTCCCAGGTAAGAGGACGAGGAAGACAGTGAGCTAAAAGCACCTAAAATTTTTTAGAAGAGAGATGACTGGAAAAGTCAGTCATCAAAGCCAAAGTTGGAGATAAAAACTGAGAACAAAATACAGGCAGCATTTGAATGCCAAGACGGGAAGTATTAGCTTAATCCTGCAGGAAATGGAGAAGATATTTTAGTTAGGGATCAATCCTATACTGCATGCTTCTCCCTCTATTATTGCTCCTAGATTTAATTGAAGGCAGAGATGTGAAAGATTAGGAGGTTATTTATGAGGTTATATTTATGAGGTTAGAGCAGTAGTGCAGGTACGCAGTGATAATACATTAACATTGGGTAATGGTAATAAATACGGATCTCAAAGCTAATTTTCTTTTTTTGATCCTTGCACTAAGTTTATGGAGATGTTCAGTGGGGTAAATGGAAAGAGGGGTGTACAGGAACTATTTTTGTAACTTTTCTCTAAATCTAAATTAGTTCAAAAAAAGTTAAAGAAAAAAATGTGTAAGTAGCAAGAAAAAGATTCAAGAGTTACTGGGACTGAGCTCTGGGACTGCTGAGAAAGGGTGAACTCTTCCATAAATTTTTTTTGTTTTGCCTCGTTTTTTGTCTTGTATGTTTACTTTGATCTTTTTTTTTTTAGGCGAAATGCTTTTCCTGCATTATGAAGTAACACATTTTCAGAAACATAAAGCCAAGGTCTATAGTGAGTATGATGTTACGTTACTGAATGTGAGCATTCACTTCCAGGTATTCCCTGGGTATTGGATAAAAAGAGAAGCAAACAAATAATCAAAAACTCCTGTCATCACCAAAGTTACCTTCTAAAGGGTGACTCTTAAATTAAGAAAAGCCTTCATAGAGGAAAAACAAAATTATATCTAGTTTCTGGACAATGACAGAACCACTGTCTGTATGTGTGGGGTGGGTGTGTTTGAGAGGTAGCATGGGGTTAGGTTTTGCAGGTAAGATAGTTCCAAGCTATCCTGAAATACTTACTGCTATCTCTTCAAACCTCTTAGCCTCAGACTTAAAGTCTACAACATTAGAATTATCCTGAGGGTTAACCGAATAATAGCTATAGGGACCCAGCACAGAAATTACCACATGCTAAGCTTATGAGTACCAGCTCTGCAATGTATTAGAATCTAGTTTTGCAAAAAATGGAGATACTCTCTTTCAGATCTATGGAATGGCAATATGGGGACGGTGGTGGAGTTTTTTAAAAATATTTTTCAGGCAATTCTTATGAAAGGCCATAGTTCAGAGTGACAGCACGGAGCACCAGACATTTTAAAATTTAACTTCACTCTTCTCCAAAGAAGCATTAATTTCTATCATAATTACTTTGAAGAACTCTTACTCTGATTTGTTTATAAAGTGAAGTATTTTTGAAACCATTCACAGTGCATAAAGACCCATGCAGATTATCTCTTGGTAAATGGAAGTGGTGGGACATTTCCTTTGATACTATTACAAGACTGAGGATGATCACATCTATTTTCACTGATTGTTGTAACTTAATGTTCTTATTATGAGAGGCATCCCATTGCATTACCAAACATTGAAGCAGGAGTAAGGTGTCAGATTTCCATCATATATATGCTCTGTGATTTAGTGTTTTTCCATGCAAAGACAGTAATTTTATTCTGCAAACCTCAAGGTTTTGTGTGAGGATCAAATGAGGTGATATTAAGTATAGAAGAATCGCTGAGAAGATAAATTTGGAGTCAAATTGACTTGAAATAGCTTGTTTTATATTCCATCTCCAACTAGTAAAGTTCTGTGTCCTTGTGCAAGTAGCAACACTTTTCTAAGTTTCCATTCCTTAATCTATAAAAAGGAAGATGAAAGTAATTGTTATATCCTGGGCTTGTTGAGATAATCAAATGTAATAAGGTATGCAAAAAGTGATGATGAGTTATTGACATGTGATGCTTCTGAGAGCTCATGGTCACTATTACTATATGTATGTACATGATACGTGTGTATAGGAGAGACTGAATGATTAGTCTTTTATAATCTTAAGTGGTAGCTATTGTTGTAATTTATAACTAAGTGTAAGTTTTGCCTAATTGTTTTAATATAGCGTATTTCCTCAATTTTGAGAGAAAAATACAAAAAAACATTCCAAAAGTAACAATAGGTTCCCATCCTTAATAAGAAAGTGACCTACCAAAGAAAACACATATATACAATCCCACATGCTCCCATCCAATCCATTTCATGTGGTATAAAATTGCAGTGGGCTCAAACATAAGATGTGCTTGGATGCAGGAAGCACCATCCAGGCATTGGGCACACTGCTGGTGCAAGTTTCTCAATGTTATTTGAATAGATGGCATTCAGATGAACGCAATACCTCTCAGCCCATGCAAATCCTACACACTTGCCCGGAAGAACTACTGGGATGGGGACTACACCAGAGCAAAAGACAAGCTTTAGCCACATCCTCATCCAGGGTATTTCTGCCTGATGTCTAGCTTGCCAGGAAATCCGCATCCTTCAACTTTGACATCTGGAAATGAAAAGGCAGCACTGCTTTCTGTCAAGGATGGTATTTCTTCTAACAGTGATTCAAGACGGTTGAGGCACCTGTACAGTGGAAGAGGTGTGTGTAGAGGTTTTGTGGATACATTTGTCAAGTGATTACCCAGAGGGGGGAAAAATGGATACTTTGAGGTTCATCTTGCAGCAGAAAAGATTTCTAGTCGAGCTGTGGTGTAGGCTTCTCCATGGAAATGCATGCAGAATGCAGACCACAGAGGCAAATTGAAAAGTGTAAACCTTGCCGGATAATGTTTCTTCAAAGCAGTAAGTGTTGGTGCGTGATAAATAGGACCCTGCGTAATGCCCAGGAAATATAACAACAGGATTCTCTGTTGGTGTTTTCACTTGGAAACTGTTTTTGTCCCTTTGTCGAGGATATAAGAGACTCATTTAGCTAGTGACTATAAATTTGACACTGAGCCATTTCTCCAAGAAAGCCCCTATTATAATCCAACTTGATGCTTTTCCTAATTATAATAATATAGCTGTTTTATTTCCAGCTCTTGTCAACAAAA